ATATGGCTGAGCTTCGGAGAATAACGTGTAGCGTAGTCCGTGATGGCCGATATTCGCGTTAAAACAATACCAATTCATTCACCCTTTCCGACTCATCGCTCGTCTTTACTATTTATAAAACAAGGCATTATTACTACGTATGCATTTACATAACTAGCGCGCAAGAATAATTTCTCCGCAAGTGCATTGTAGAAATGTAGCGAACATAACATAAGAACGCTGAACATAGACCGTTTTGAAAAATGCAAGTGGTCAATGAAGCAGTTCTTTAAGGAGCCTATGTGCAAAAAATGCTTGTGATCCCTGTTCTAGACGAATGTTGTAGCTACCGAAATTCATTCCTCAACATGCAAGGTGATAATGGGTCTCACTTCACCTGCGTACCATGCACCATGTGAATCGTTGTCAGCCCGGCGACGTTCGAGCGTGATACTGGCTCTAATATTGTCGACATGTTACGTTATTAAACCCTATAAATGGTTCTTGGGACCTTAACTCTTGACTTCTGAACCTTTTTGGACCTTGGCGGGTGCCAGTGCCGTGTCTATCATGAGGTAATAATTTATTTTAATTAATAAACAAAACAATAGGCAACCTGGGAAGAATTAAAATTCCATTTATTTTTCAGAAGCAAATAAACCATTTCAGTGTTTTCTATGAGTATCACTTCAAGAAAATCGCGATCGACTCGATAATCACGTTGGGAAATCAGGCACTGTTTTTACATTATTTTTTTTTGAGATTCTTTTTCTAATGCTTACGATACTTGTTTGGAAATTTGGGAAGACACTGAACGCAATTTTGAAACCTCTGGTGTAGACTAAGGCTAGTTTTGGATTTTGCAATACTTTTGCGCACGACTTGCAGGCTCAACAGTTGATTCCATGCGAACAGGTATTGAGTCATCTTTCAAGTTTGCCTCCAGGCACGTTCATTTACAAACATGAGATTACTGGCTCGGCTGTAACCTTGTACGATGTTTCGCTTCTGATCACGGTTTCCGCGACCGAAGACGCACGTGATCTTACATAGCATACGATGACAAACTGTTATTTTATTTATAATTCCGTCACGTACAAGAGAATTCCAACAAAAATAATTTCCAATAATATGTTTATTATATCGAGATAAATTGAAATTCCTGAGCATTCATTGTGAATCGTGCTTGGAATGATTTGCACACCGGTATTTTTGTGAGATTTGCATTAATTCATACGAATATTAGACACACACACACACATATATGTATATATGTATAAGTTAATATTTTAATTTTTATTGATACGTTATAATTTTGTATTGTTTTTGATTCAGATTTCGACATAAACTACACAACTCTTTGAAAGGATCGTGGTTACGAGGGAAATATGAAAACAGATGAATGATGCTACATGTTTTCTTATGGAGGGAATTGTGGAAGGGAATTGCTTTTATTTATCGTTTAACTATTTTATTACTAAGCTTCTGAAATTTGTAAAAGTTGACGAATGAGAAGGATCCGGAAAAGACGTGCAAGTAATGGAAGGTCTCGTCCTAAGTTGAAAATTGGGATCGAAGGGGTTGAATGAAGAGAGAAAAAGAAATTGTTCGCCCGCACGTACAAAAGCTACTTTTATTTCTGAGTCACGTCTTTGCCCCTTTCAGTGCCAACGTCGCCCCCTCGTGAGACATATTACTCCAGGTGCAGCCACCGTTGTACCTACTGGCCTTCCCATCTTCTGTGCCGTAGAGGCTCGTGGGCCCATATCAGTCATGGCGGGAGTTGGAGAAGCGTACCTCATGAGGCCGTCGTGCCTAGTGCTCTTTTAGAGGAAGTGAGCAAGACCGTAAGGCCCTGACGTCAGGCACATGCTATTAGCTCTGCTCACTTCCATTTACGGTGAAGGAGGGAACATTTGAAGATTGGGGTTGAAATTCCAGTTGATACATAATGTGCTAGGAATGCGCAACGTGCCACAACACACAACTTCCGTGCGTTAAGCCGATTACACCCACTCGGTATTCGGCGAGTAGCGGTAGAATTGTGCTCGCTGAATATCCCGAGTAGTGTGGATGGGCTGCGTGCTACTGGCCGGGCGACGAACGTTCCCTGTTCGTTCTGCCCTTCACGTGTCGGTCTTTTGGACTCATCGAAGGAAGCGAACTTACGTCGAGGACATCTGCTGCTCGGAATTGGGCGAGCAGCAGCTTGCTCGGCAAATGCCGAGTGCCACCTTTTTGCGGTATTTGATTCCACAGTTCATTTGCCAGACGTAATGAGAACCGCCAATGCCCTCAATCCCCTGCGCAAGCAAGCGAAGAATGGAGGAAAGATGGTTCGGAGGTAATACATGGTGTTTGAGAAAATCAACCACCATGAAAACATCAATGCTCGGGCGGGATTTACACCCGTGACCCCTGTTTCCCCTTAGCGCATCACCCTTGCCCCTACAAACCCATGGCGGCTGGCTTGTCTCTCGAGTATCTGTGGGTTGCACTTTGTCCCGCGCGAAAAAAAGCGGCGCTTATTGATCGCCGCTCGTCAGGCCGGGTAGGTTGTAAGCGCAAAATATGTAGATGAGGCGTTGAGTATGCTAAGGGATTAAATTCTATTTTGTAAAAAATCCATCGGTGGCTGCCCCTGGCTCTGACACA